TTAGTTGTTCAAAAAAAAAAGTCACTTTCTCATTAAAATTGCTAATTTATTATTATGATTATTTCGCTCTTCTATGCACATCAAGTCTCTACTAAATAAATTTTACTTTTCTTATTTCACCTGCGTCAAAGTTGTCAAAATCCAATGTGACGTAAGTAATATGTATCAAAAAATTATTTGTACATTTTTTGTATATACACCGCATAATTGCTTGTGTACACAGATAGCCCGATTTAAAAAATAAACAACTATCTCCGATTGCATGTGTACTTAGGTGAGTGTATAAAATGTGTACAACTTTTATATCAGTCAACATGTATTACGCCGTATGTAGTACTCCCTCCGTCTCAATTGAATAGTCCTGTTGCGATTTATGATTCTTGACCGATGATAAAATAAATTGATTTGTAACAAATAAAACATATATAATCAAAAACTATATTAAAACTTTCACAAAGTCACAAAAAATCAAACTTAATAAAAACTAGATATATAAAATAAAAAATTAATACAACATACATAATAGTTTACGTTAATCAAGTGAATAGGAAATGTGACTATCAAATTGGGACGGATGGAGGTAGTAACATGTGTCACTATCAATGACATCTCCTACTGTTTGGTATCCTCTTTAGAGTCAGTGAGTCCATTCGGTGTTAGTGTATCGCTAGAAATTATTTCGTGCAATGTGACATCGCGATTAAATTCATCCATAAAAAATGCATGTAAGGTTCACTTAAGAATCTTTAGGTGTCGATTAATTAGCCCATGTGTTTCCAAATAACTATTCCAATAGTTGTTTCACGGTGTTTAAGATGTGCTTAATTATAAGGGTACTACATCCTTTAATTAGACTTTAAGGAAATGACATTTGAAAAATTGTGAGTTTTTGGTACTGTCTAGAAGTACGTACGGAGTATTATTATATATTTTCTTAATTGAAGTATATATTACTTTTGGAATAGAATAGAATATTTTCTAAAAAAGAATGTGAGGCACTGATTTGGAATAGCTCGAAAAGAAATTGAGACACTTGTTTAGAAATAAATTGTGTGTGATACGGAATGCAAATTTTTATGAGGAAAACACCCCTCAGTGCCTCACATGATATCGATCATTTAATATGCATGAGCTGAAATTTCCTAGCAAGTGTTAATTAAATAGTTAGGTTGATCGAACTGTTGTAATTAATAATGTTTCTCCTTTATCATTCTTATCTGAAGTGCAGATATTATATAGATTTATGATAGGATTAGGACAAATGAATATATAAATCCACACTGTGTACTAATTAATGGTTTAGTTAATTGTATGTATCTAAAGTGTGATAGATGGAGATGGAGTAAAAGGATGGAGAGACATCATGTGACATGTTTGGGGGTAGGTAACCAACTCATATATTAAGAAAATAATTAGTGGAAGCTAGCTAAGTCTAGGGATGGATAGGAAGAAGGAAATGAAAAAGAAAACAGTTGGGTAGTTAAAAGGTGCATGGTTGGTGGGTGGAGTCATGTGCTAATGTAGTGTGGAATTGGATTCCTACTACTCTACATTTTTTATTTTTAATAATAATAATGGGAATAAATTTGGGATAATTTAGGCCAGCCAAACATCCATCTTTTTCCATGATAAATTGCTACTCCTAGTACATGCATGATCCTAGCTACCCCTAGCCTCAATATATTGTCGACTGGTCATGCTTTTCTATCTTGATGTTTGAGAAATTGTCGTTAAATGTTGTCGTTTTAAAATACCCAAAAAATCAAGTAGATTTTCTTAAATTCAAATTTGTTCACATGTTAATTAGGATGGATGAAATTGAAAAGCCAATCGTGGGTTCACGGTTCAAGACATGACCAAGTTTATTTACCCATTCTTTTGGAACAAGTACTACAAGTAGGATTATAAATGAGTTATACTCGAACCAACAAGGTGAGAGTTACAAATAGGATTATAAGCTAGATAGAGACAATTACCAATCTATTTAAACGTAATATTCAAACTCATAATATTTAATTAATTAATAAATAAATAATCTTTATAGAGTAACATATCGTTATATAATTACTATAAAAACGTAACTTACTACTCATTTTCTCAAAACCCTAACAATTAATCGTTCGCCTCTAGTCTCTCGCCGCCACCATCCCCATGTGTCGCCTCCGTCTCCATATCTGTTCGCCGTGGTCACCATGATTGCTCGCCGCCGTCACCTAGTCGTTTGCCTCCATCCTCCAGACGTCCAATTCTAGCGTCCAACCGTTCAACATTCATTCTCAATCTATTTTTTTATTCCTTGAAATTAGGGTTGTTTGGAATCAGGTTTGTGGGGCGTTGGACATGGGCAGTAAACATGGTAATAGACAATGTTGAGTGTGAACGGTGAACATGACAATACATAATGTGGTACATGTGCAGGGAATAAATGTATTGAGAAAATGTGTTGTGAAGCTATTCAAAGGCAACAAATAGTGTTACAAAACTAGCTTGAAATGCAGTTATTATGACAAATAGTGCACTAATGCAGAGTAGCAATGCTGTCATGAAATGCAATATATTTAATTGACGTAAAATACTAAAATTATTAAGGGGTAATTTGAGTTTGCACCCCAAATTATTGTCTAAATTGGATTTTGCACCCCATTTTTAAAACTCTTTATTTTTGCACCCCCAACCCCATATGAAAAGACAAAAATGCCCCTCCATTACCAATTTTGTTGACCTTCACCATATTCCTGTTTGAGGGCATTTTTGTCTTTTCAAATATGGGATTGGGGTGCTGACGTGCACTTTGTCGTGTGTGCACTCAAAATAATTTCAACACTAGCACTAATACGTAGTATAGTGAAGTAGAGTTCGTATCCACAGGGAAAGGAATAATTTATCTTTTTATATAAATAGTAAGTAAAGGGGGGTTTTGATTGTTGAATGATTTAATTAAATTAAACACGAAGATGAACGAGTTATATGGGATTAAATTCAAGAATAAAAGGGACTTGGTATTGCTACTTTACACTTGTTGATATATTTTAGTCGATCATTGTTATATCTATAACTTATTTCCTCTCAAATACTCAATCGAGGAGTATATCCAATTCATCGAGGATAGTTATTAACAACGACCATTCATTAATAACCCTTACTATTAGTCAAGTATAGAACAACGCCATATACCGACTTGATAGTAACATTTAATCTTTTAATTCCTTGATGAAATCAATTGAGATTGATAACCTCAACACAACGGTCTCGGTTTAACCAACAAAATTAATCCCTCTTAAGTTTATTAACCACGACCGTGCATTAATAAACCGAAGTTACTTACTTGTGAAACTATCAACGATTAACCATTGGTTCGTTGATCGAATCTAGTAGTAATTAATATATGAAACAAAACTAGTTGATCCTTTAAGTAATGTTCAAAATATTAATATGAAATATGAATAGGAATTAATTAATACTCAAGGAAGAATATTAAAGAAGATGAATCCTACTATAGTTAATATCAAGATGTTAACTAATTGTCATCTTAGTAACACTCCCCAATATTAACATAGAGGAAGAAATGACTATTACTATAACTAATGTCAAGATGTTAACTAATTGTCATCTTAGCAACACTCCCCAACATTGATATAGAAATAGTATTTGAAGAAAGAATTAATATTCAAGGAAAGAAGTTAAGAAAATAACTCACAACTTTAATAATCAACAAGCTTTAAGAGCAATACCAAGAATTGGAAGTTTAGCTCCTCATTTGGAGACTAAACATGCTAAAAGAAATATAAAGAAATGTTATTCTAAACTGAGCTTAAGAGTATAAAGGAATTGGTTCCCTAAAAGTGAAGGAAAGGAGGTGTATTTATAGGCTTTTTGAGGTGCAGGTCGAGTACTCGATCGAGTATGTATACATACTCGATCGAGTATGTGTAGAACATCGAATTTGCTCTATACTCGATCAATACTCGGGTAGTTTTTATAGCTATACCCGATCGAGTATCAAGGTATACCCGATCGGGTATAGACACTGGATCGTGGGAAAATCTTCTCCTGCATGTTCCTTTGTTTTCGGATTCGATCCGATTTGAAATGTCAACCAGATACCCGATCGAGTATATATATATACTCGACCGAGTATAGACCAAAATCAGGATTCTCTTTTTGTCTTGTGATTTTTGTACCTTCTGTCCACTTTTGGGGTTCACCAACTATCCTTTGAGTGCTTGTAGACCTGTTTGAGCCCAGAATAAACCTAATCTAAACTTTTTACAAGAATTTTAACAACTAAACTATTACACCAAAATTGTGTAATTTCCAAAATGCTAAACTACAAAAAGTAACTAAAAATGCAAACATAAACATGGAAATTACACATGTATCAGGTGCAAAAACAAAGATTTTTAAAAACGGGGTGCAAAGTCCAAATCAGATAATACTATGGGGTGCAAACTCAAATTACCCCAATTATTAAATCTAAAACAATAAAAAAGAACTATAAATAAATTTCTAAAGTGAATGAGAGGAGAATTTATATTGGTGAAAGTGAAGTGATTATTACCAGATGTGCAGTAATATCGTGCATTAACTACAGTATAAAGTGCACTATTTTTAATTGCACGAAAGTAGTTCAAAATGTGTATATTTTAAATATGAGTATTTTGTCATTCAAAATTTTAATATAAAGGAATTTTTTTTCTTTTTAGTCTTACGAATCTTTAAAAACAAAGCTATTCATATTTAGAAAAACTTAATATTTTTAATTATATCACACGAAATTTCTCTAGAAAATAGAAAGGAATTAGTATTTACAGTACAACATAGATGGCTACGGATATGCTCCCTTCGTCTCTTAATAAAACTTGGCAAAGTTTGACCGGTACTAGAATTAATATAGTAAAAAGTGTGTTGGGTTTGTGCAGAAGAGTGAGAAATAATTGGAAACATAAGATTTTTACTTAAATGAGAAAGCGACAAAGTCAGTGGAACAACAAAAAAAGAAAAAAAGAAAGGTTGAGAAATGCCACGGAACAGATCGGGTGTGTACAACAATTGATCGTTTTTTCTTGCTCCCTTTTGGTGCTTCGGCGATCCAAACAAGCCAGGCGGAGACTGATAGATTCAAATCATCAATTGATCGATTCTCTTGGCTGTGTGGTAATTCTCTTGCTCAAGATCAGTTCGTGGTTTTGTAATTTTGTGATTGATGTCAATGGCACCCGGTGGCTTCGGAGACGGCCGTGGATCCGCGGCCACTAAGGGTGTGAGATTCGATTTTCATATGATTGGGTTGGTTATTTTGGCTCTGATGGTGATCGAGATAGGAGTTGCATCAACTGTATTTGATCCTGGTGGAACGCTAGAGGTATGGGGCCCGAGTAAAGAGGGCGAATTTAGACTCCAATCATGTAATAACGCTAGGGTTCTGTGGCTGAGTTTGGCTGAAGAGGAAGACCTGCTGATTCGTCCTCCTCCTGAGCCGCCGCCTTGGAGCGATCGAGAGGCCAAGATTTGGTGGAAGATGAAGTTTCCCGAAAGAGTTCGGAGTTTTTATCAGTTATTTCATTTTTTATGGGTTTCTTTTTGTGTTTTCCTTATTTGCATTGGTATGTTTTTTATTAGTTTCTTTAGTTTTAGACCTAGAATAATGAGGGACAATTCTGCTAGATATTATATTGTTATAAGGATCGAAATAGCCAGTGAGTGCTGAATACCTATTTGGTGATCGATATTATACTGGTTAGCGATTCGTATCGCTCTGTCAGGGGTGATCGTTTCTATGTCTAGCCGTAGGGTGGATACTGATAGTTGGTTACAGATTGTTGTTGTCAGTATGGATGTCTTTGAGTTTAATGTAACGATCTGAACCCTAATGATATCAATATAAGCAATTTTCCTTTAAAAAAAACAAAAAAGAAAGGTTGACAAAGTTTTATTGGACGAAGAGAGTACTTATACAGAGAAAAGATCCGTGCACACCGACCATTCCGTAAAGAATTAGGTTCTACTATTTTTCACTCCCTCTGTAGCCTATTTAAGTTCACACTTTCTTTTTTTGGATGTTCCAAACAAGTTCACACTTCCTTATTTGGCAAACAAATCTACTAAAAAAAGTGTCAAAGTGCAAATTAGTGTCAAACAGTGTCAAATAATGTCAAAATAGTGCAAAATAGTGCACTCTATAGTACAATTTATCCCTCAGTAAAATTATTTCTTAATATGTGTGAAGTCAAACTGGGAACTTAAAAAGGATATGGAGGAAGTATTTTTCTTATTTAGTTCTAATTTGTGATAAAGTTGTATCACAGCTAGAAGCCTAGAATATCTCAATATCACATCACACGTAACCTAAAACTAAGAGCATCTTCAATGCAATATGTGACATAGATGAGATAGATACAAAAAAGAAACAAATCGTTAACGTTTTTTTTCTTTTCTTTTCCTTGTTTTATATAGTTTTGGTAACTTTTCACAACAATGTCAACTACAATGTCTACGGGTATGTATGTACAACTAGCTGAAAAGATACTTTTATAGACCTTTTAATAATTATTAGCTTTTAGTGACTGGAAAGATCTTAAAAGTAAAATGTGGTAGCTGTTTGGTAAAAAAAAATAAATGTTGGATTTAGTTTTGTTTGGTATACAAGCTGTTGAGACTAATTAATGCAAAAAGTCACATACTTTTGTATCATATCAGAAAAGTCACATTTAGTTTTATTTTTTGAAAAACTTTTAAAAGTTGTCATACTAAACATAAAACTAGGAGCTTTTAGAGACTTTTTTTAAATATTACAAAAGTTAGAAGGCAGAGACTCATGTCTGCCAAACATAGTCTACATCTAGACATCCAGTGTTGACATTTTGGAGAAAAGCTTATCAAAAACACATAAGACCTTTAAACGAGGAGGAAACTATATTGCTCATTAATATTTATGTCTCTCTTTCATGCCACATGCACATCATTCACGTTGTACCATTGCAAATGTTTTAAGTGGCAAGCTAGATAGAGAATATTTTTGGGATTCATATTTTTCTTTGCATTTAATTAGAATAAAAGAAATTCTTCAAAATATAGGGTATATAAGCAAAGCAGCCCCCTAATAGTACGTACTACATCCATAATGGATGTACATATTTTTAAAATTATGTACATAAAATAGGGCTTATTTAATCTTACTAAAAACAAAAAAAATAAAAATTGTCCTCAAATGGGAGGGCATGAATACTACACTAGCTTTGGACACAATATTTTAGGATAGAATAGTAGAAGTAGTGAATAGTGTAGAAAAAGTAGGAGAGAGAGTGTAAAAGTAAGAAAGAGAAGATAAAAAGTACTCCCTCCGTCCCGTTGGAATTTTCCCGCTTTCCTTTTTTGGATGTCCCAAAGAGAAGTTCCCATTTCCCTAAATGAAAAGTCATCCTACATCAAAGCAGTGTCAAACAGTGCCAAACAGTGTCAAAACAGTAAAATTTACCCCCTGGTAAGTTTATTTCCTTAATACGTGTGTAGGTCAAACCGGGAACATTCTAACGGGATAGAGGGAGTAGATAAAGTAAGGGTAGTTGAGCATTTTATAAGTGATCATTTCATTTTCATCATTATTTACCCCAGTGCCGCAAAGGCTCCCACCTATGGTGGGGTGATGGGGATCGGATGTACGCAGTCTTACCGCTGTACTAAAACTCAGAGAGATTGTTTCCGGATGACCCATAGTGAAAATCGCGTCCAAAATTGCATGGACTGACTGGCGACTGCCGCTTCATAACAAAGAAGTGCATACAGTTTAGTGAGTCATTTTGCTTTATTCCATCATATTATCAAGGTAAAAAATAATGAATCTTTGACTCCGTTACAAATGATGGAAATATTTTATAATGGATAAACTTACCAAAAATGGAAATGTAGGAAACTTTTGATTACATCTCAAAAAGGAAAGTGTATGAATCTTTTAAATACGGAGGAATATTATACTTCAAGCCCGTTTGGTAGCACGAAAATCGGTTGATTTGGCTGATTCTGCTGAAATTTATGAAGTTTTGGCTGAAGTGACTATATTGGCTGATTCTGCTGATTTAAGAAAAAATTATTTTTAAAATATATTTTAGGTCCCTATATTTTATTAGTAAAAATAGCTAAAATGGTCATCTACAGTAACTTCAGCCAGAAAAGTAACTTCAACCTTACTTTTTCTGCTTATTACACAATTCAGCGCGCGTAAGCAAAAATTACGTGTTTGGTGAAAAAGTTGGCTGATAAACCTGATAAGCCGAAAAACGGGGGTTTCAAACGGCCTCTTCTTGATTTTTATGGAATAAAGATTTTTACCCCGTATTAAATTTTTGATGTGCCAGTCCACCGTTGATAGGTGTGAAAACACTTAATACTTTCTCATAAAATATAGTCTTTGTTTGTTAACCTTTGAAGATTTTTGCTCCATTTTGGTTAAATTTGTGCAATATTTTGGTTGTAGGAACCATGATAAGTATTTGAGCATTGTAGGGGTGAAAACGAGCATTTTGAAGAGTCTCGAGAGCATAAATGGATGAATTGAAAACCCCGGGGACCAAGCGGAGCACAAGGAAGCAAGAAATGAAGACTTGGATGTGTTTTGGTGGAAGTAGCATCAGGAACGCCATAGGGAACGCCGTCCCTTCAGGCGTTCCCCCGTTTTGTTCCACCGGATTTCTGATACAATGTCCCAGGTGTGGGAACGCTGGCAGGGAACGACGTTCCTGTCAGCGTTCCTGCGAGAACGACGTCCCATTTGCGTTCCTCCCAGCGTCGAACTCTCTGCCAGCGGGTTGTTTGATTTTGTAAAGTCAGGAACGCTGAGGGGGAACGCCGTTCCTGCCTAGCGTTCCCCCGATTCCCCATTTGTATAAATAGCAATTCTTGTTCGAATTTCCACAATTTTGGACGAACTCTCTTCTTGCAAACCCTAGTTTTGGTTGTAAGCTTGCTTAAACTCAATTGCACTTCATTTCTTAATATTATTTGCATCAAATCTTGAATCTAGCTTCATTTAATCCTTTAGATTGCATCATTATCATATTTTCCCTAATCTCATCCATTGATCTCACTTCATGTCTATGTCTAATATCTCTCCTATGAATATGAAATCTAGCATGAGTGAGTAGTGGGATTAGGGATTGGGGGTGTTTGAGGAACATCCAACCATGTGATGTGTTAGGTTTTGGGGTTTGATTTGGGGGAATTTGAGAAATATATTATGCACACAATGTGTTTGTGAAAATGCTTCTTTGTATTTCTAAGACTTTGATGGCCACAATGTTCTGGGATGATGTTTTGGATCCTCAAGGAGACTTGTAGGGTTCCTTTTGACACATTCACACACACACTACCTTCCTCCATGAGAATGGGAGAAAGTAGGGGAATAAATTGTTGGTTGGTCTTCTTTGCATGACTTTGGATTTCTATTGGACCATGAGAATGGACAATAGGAGCCCTTAGTACCCCCTTGACCATGAGAGTGGCAAGGGAACTTGTACCTATCCCTTTGTTGCATGACATATTCCCAAGTATCCCCATTTTGACCCCTTATCCTTAATCATAGGTTGTTCCTTGTATGCCCTCGCTTCCCTTCTAGTTTAATCATTATCTATTTCCATTGCAATCTAGTTGTTCTCTTAAATCACATACATCGACTTGGCTAGCTTACATCTTAGATTTCTAGATTGATCTCACACTTGATTTTCCTTATACACCGTCCCGTGAGACGATATCCGGGACTTCCACATCCCGACACCCGATGAGCTTCATTGTGAAAATGACTCGTCAAATTTTGGCGCCGTTGCCGGGGATGGTGTTGAAAGTTTAAGTGTGATAATTGATCTTAGTTATCTAGTGAGACTAGTCTTTACTTTCGTTACTTTCATTCATTCATTTCCATGTCATTTTGTTTTGTTCGGATCACGTGGGGGTGTTTTTGAGCTCGTGTAGGTTGCTTGTATGCACACTCATTCTCACGATGACAAAGATTTGATTTTCTCATCCAAAAACTAATGATTAGTTCAAAAGCATCAATGTTATAATTTTGCATCAAAAGGTGAGAAAATGGAAGGAGGCACACATTTATTTGGCATGCTTGAGCCTCCTACCGGACGTTCTATTGCTGAATTTTTAGAACCCGAAATTCAAGTTCATGAAAGCATTCTTTATCCAAGGGTGGAGGCCAACAACTTTGAACTCAAGGCTTCTACTATTGGTTTAGTCTCATGTAATCAATTTGGAGGCGGGCTTGAAGAGGATGTTCAATGTCATATCACCCGCTTTCTAAGAGTTTGTAACACAATCAAGAAGAATGGTGTATCAGATGATGCCATTAGACTACGGTTGTTTCCATTTTCAATTAGAGATGAAGCACAAAGGTGGCTTGATTCTTTTTCTCAAGATCATTTCCAAACATGGGATCAACTACATAAGGAGTTCATTCAAGAATACTTCCCTCTTTCAAAGTGTTTGAAGATAAAAAAGCAAATACAAGATTTCAAGCAAGGGGTTGTTGAAATACTACCAGAAGCATGGAAGAGGTTTAAGGCCTTAAGGAGGATGTGTCCATCAAACTTCATGACCCATTGGGAGACTATTTACTCTTTTTATGGAGGATTACACAATGAAGCAAAGATGATTATGGATACTTCGGCATGCGGAGCATTGATTCATCTACAACCGAAGGATGCCGAAGCACTAATTGAAAGGGTCACATCCAATCATTCTTATTGGTACCA